GGACAGCGAGGGCGGGGTGGGGGTGGGGGGCGGGCTGGTAGGGTCAGGGTCGCTGCTGCTCTTTTCTCACACCCCAAATTGCCTCTGTGGGCCGCGGGGCCGGAGTGGGAGCCCCCTGCCTTCCAAGCCCAGCAACACTGCAATAAAGTGTCCTGTGGCCACCACCTGTGTCCCCAGCCACCAACAGGGCCAGGGTCCCCAGAGTGGGGACCCCCAACCTGCTGTCCATGGGAGTGTCTGGTTCCAGCTGCTCCTGTTCCCACCGTGGGGGGCTGCCAGGGTCCCCAGGAAGGGACTGATCCAAGGATGTCCCGTCCTGCTCATCGGTCCAGGGCTGGGTGCTGCCCTCTCTGCTGGGGCTGTTTGTCCTCTGTGGGGTGTGGGGCTGGTCCCTGCTGGCGGTGCCGAGCTGGCAGCTGTCCCTGTCCCTGTCCCCGTGCTGCCCACAGCAGCCTCGCACCAGCCACTGGCTCCGCTCAGAACGGCAGCTCCCAGCTGCTGCCGAAGGTCATCGTGAGGCACAGGGGCCTGGCAACCGGCCCAAGGCCAGTGCTGCCGTGGGAGCTGGTGCTGCTGGCGAGGCCGCGGAGGCGGGGAGGGGGCTGCAGCTCCGGGCTTCGAGCAGGGGCTGTGGGTGCCCAGGCCCCTTGCTCCCACCCTGTGCCCCAGAGCAGCTGGTCTGAGCCCTCCCTGTGGCACCGGGAGCAATTCCGGGGGGCGAGGGATGGCTCATGGGAACTGCCTTGGCAATCCCCAGCTCTCCCAAAACGTTTCCTCTTGATGGGGGGAGACTGACATCGCCCCCAGCCCATCTCCAGAGTGCTGGTGGGGGACAAGCACCCAACAAGGCAGGAACAGGCAGCACCTGTTGCAGGCAGGGCCAGGCAGCACAGTGTGGCCGTGGCCATCCCCGGCTGCCCACCCTGGGCGCGGTGCCCAAAAACACAGCGTGAACCGCGGTCATGGGGGTTTATTACGAAGTGGCAAAATAAAATGCCAGCAGGGCTGCTTCGGAGGAGCGATCCCCTGCCCGCTCTTGTGGGGGGGGTGTCTCTGCTTTGTGGGACTCCAGGGAAAGGGGGTGCAGGGGGTCCTCGCTGCTGCTGGTGGGGGGACGGCGCTTCCTCGGCATGGGTGGGAAGAGCTGTGCCTGCTCTCACGGTCTGTGGGGCAGGAGGGGAGGTGCAGGGGGCCGACCTCCAGGTGTGGACCCATGTAAATAGGAAAATCCCACCCTGTAACGGGCATGGCGCTTGCTCCTGCGATGTGGGAAATGATTTGCTGGGAGGCTGTGTGTCCCCTTCAAACCCGGGGATGGGGCCGCAGGGCAGGTGAAGGCAAAGCATGAAGTGATGCTGGGGGGATCGGCTGGGGGATGACGGTGCTGGGGGGTCCATTCCCTACCCGGCTCAGCAGCGCCATGCCATCCTCTGCTCCCCCCAGCCCCCTCCCCATGGCAGCACCTTGCAGAAACCCGAGGCGAAGTGCGACCCAGAAGAATGCTGCCCGCACGCCCCCACCGCAGTCCGGGCACGGAGCAGCTGCGGCTCTAGGTGCTGGCCCCGCCGCTGCCGGGTCTCTTCTCAGTGAAGAAGCTTTTCAGCAGCATCACTTGCCCAATGCTGACCACAAAGAGGATGAGGGTTTCCCCAACCGACCAGTACGAGACCCGGCCATTGAGATCTTCAGCTCTGCTCCGGTCCTGCGCTTCTCTCAAGCGGTAGTGAGTCTGGGAGTCGATCACTGTGTTCAGAGCCTCATGGATGGTGACGCAGGCCGACTCCATCTAGGGAGACAAGCACGCTTCGTTGCTCCCAGCACTGCTCAGGTCCCACGCCCACAGCTGGGGGAGCTGAGGACAGTGCTGGGGCACCCATGAGTGGGACAGCAGCGCCCTGAGCCACTGGGTCTCTGCCAGCCCTGTCTGGAGAAAAGTTCTGCTCCAAGGGGCAATGATGGAGACCAGGGCATGACCGGGAGCCCCGCCGAGGTGCCAGGGGGTTTCCATCCACTCCTGTGGGGACACATCGAGAGATGGGAAAGTCTGGATGTGCTTCCCTTGTGCCAGAGGGACACCAGGCGCTCAGTTTCCCACCCAGAGTGGTCCCCCCGTCCCCCTCTGCCTGCACTGCCAGAAGTAGGATGTGGCCTGAACTCAGTGGGGCGGTTGGCTGGCAGTTGGCACTTCTGCATTCAGCTGAGGAGAAGGGGAACGAGCCCCCAGCTGCCACCCGCAGGGCCGTTTGGGACCCTCCTCCTGTGGCAGCGCACGGGAACCCACCTGTGTCAGGGCCGTGACGCGGTTGCTCATGTCGGGCAGGATGGGCGGCTCATCGCCCACCTGGAAGTCGAAGTAGATGGTTTTGTGGGAGAAGGTGGAGAACTCATTGCTGAAGCAGAAGGTGTAGACGCCCTCGACTTCGGCACGGTGCGGGAAGCTGTCGTACTGCTTCTTGGTCTCCTTGTAGATCGTCCTGCCGTTGGGGTCCTCCACGTAGCAGTCCACGTCGTAGTGTCCCCCGGTGATCACCTGGGCGCGGTTACGCAGGTGGCATTGGCCATACAACGTGGCAGGAGCCATGGAGGGAGCGGCTCTGCTCAGCCAGCCGGCACCGTGCCCGTCCCCGGGCTGGGGAAAGCCGAGCCCCGGGGTGCCCCAAGGTCTGGGGCACACCGGGGGGGACAGTCCCGATGGCCGGGCCAGGGGCTCCCGTGGCCATGGCCGGCACATCCTGGTGCC